GTCGGCCACGCGGTGGCCTGCTGCGTTCCTTACGCAGTACGCGCTGCGCTCCCGCGTGCCTGCGTCATTATCATACTGATTATTATTATTTCGTTATCATTATGATTATTATTATTTCGTTAACATAATGATCATTATCATTTCGTTAACATAATGATCATTATCATTAACATATTGAGAATTTTCATTTTACATATTTATAATTATAATTAACACAATCATAATTTATCTACGATGTTCGAGGTCTTGGTATAATTTTAGGATGATAATATACAAGTTGCTCGAATACTTTTTCGGGAAAACAGCAAGCTGTGCATGAAAACAAACGAAACTCGCATTATGAATGCCGGGCACACGAGTGCCTTTGCCATTATTTGTAATGAAAAAATATCTCGTATTCAGAAATAAACCTCATTAAAAGGTTAAAGGAGATAAAGAATAATTGCAAAAGAGCGTCAATTTAGACATAATCTTACTGAACCGCCATGTTAAGACAAAGTAGCCAGAATACAGTAGTAATCATCGGAGCTCGGTCGTCTCGTTTGGAGGCGTGATTGTGAAGTCAAATCAACTTCTGCATGTATACTTTATTATGTTAGAAGGGCTTAAACCATTTATTATTAATATTTTTAAAATTTTAATGCGTTTCTTTGGTATCAATAGTATTCAGAACGTTTTCAAGCTCAGTTCCACAAACTGCGAACCTTATCTCAGCAAAACGGTTGCTTATCTTTTAGTCACATACGTGATGTCCGGGTGTAAAAATAAAATGAAACAATTCACCTGATCTGAAATAAATGTAAATATGACTCATTGTTTAAAATTTTTAGGTTAATATGTGATTTCTTACCTATGCAAGGCTGGGTGCAGTTAGTCCAGTCACCGAGGCGCCACAGGTAAGTAGGCTCAGACAAATGGTCGCTCTTGGTGTAGCTGTAACGAACATACGGAGGATGCAACTTCCCAACCGACAATATCTGCAAAGAGCAGCTGGTTAAGGGGGACATGATCCGTTCAATATTAAGTGACGATTCAAATTTTATACCGCCATTCCTCACTAGTCCTTGCACACATTCACATACACGACAAAATTATCCCGCCATCCACCACTAGTCTTGTGCACATTCACAAGCAATAAACTTAATGTGTGTCCAAGAAACACAAATATCCACAATTCAGTCTACCATTTTTTGTCGCGTCAGTTGACACATAACGTAAGACTGTGTTGAACGCAAGGTCTTGCTATATTGTTATCCAAAAAGTTTACTAAATTAATTAGCAGGCACGTAACTAGATAATTTATTCACATAAAACACAATATTTCATTGCTTTACCAGTTTTCCTCTGGAAAAAAAAATGTTCTTAAATCGCAATGCATTACAGCATCAGCATTAAAAAACTGAATACATCAATATTTTCAACGCATTTTTGTAATGAAATAACTGCGTTGTAATAAATTTAATGTAATGTAATAACTGCGTAAAATTTTGTAATAATAACTTCCATCTGTACTTACACTGATTCTGCAAGAATTGTAGATAAGATAATAATAAATTAATACGCAAAGACTACGCAGTTTATATGTAGCTTTGTGAGTCACGTCTCGTGTAAAATTATAAAATCTAAATCATTCAAAAGATTACATAGTAATAACCTGAACTAGAAGCTTTTTTTGCAGAGGCTTAGTGGAATTAATCCTCTCGATGGCAGTATTGGAGCCTGAGTACTCCAGCATCGTGCCGGAAAACTCCACCACTTTCTGGAATGGCGTCACGATCCAGTGTCCGTTGAGCAAATACTCGCCGGTCTCCAGATCAACTAGAGCTGCAAATAAACAAATAAACTACATTGCTGTGGGAAATTAGGAAGAAAATGGGGAAGCAGAGAATTAAAGAAATTCACTTTCATTACAGCTGAACCAAATAACATCACACGTTGTGACAATTGAAACAATCGACTTCAATCTCGGCGAGGTTTTCTTGCGGTACGATGATTAAAACACATTGTAACAGAAGTATTAAACACTTCAATCACCTGACGGTGACGAGAGAGAAATTGAGAAACAATATTTTTTTCTGGAAGAATACTCAAAATATATCATATTTCAAAACTTGAAGCGATTTTAATAAGGGAGATACTATATCTTCCCGAACTATATATGTCCCCAACTACATTTCCATTATACAAAACCCAAATTTAAACCTTACAAGGAAACAAGTGCGTTACCTACTCGGTATTAAATACTCGGCTGTTTCGAAAGCTTATAGATTTATTTAAACCATTCAAGACAGTTAGATTCTATCCAACATGAAATACCAGAACCTCAAGAAAATCTGTTGCGAATAAAACATCTTACCCCGGCGCACGACTTCCAAGAGTGTATAAACCAACGTTATAAAAAGCATATAAACGAAATGATATGATACATGAATAACGGTGACTGAAGCCACACCAAGATAGTTGTCATCGTCGGCTTTGTCATGGAACGCCCGCTGAGTGATCTCGACCCTGGCAGCGCCCTCAGGTATGATGGTGACATCGCTGTAGCCCCAGCTCCTGCTCTCCTGCAGGCCCCCCGTCGTCAGCTGACACGTCGAGTTGTCGCCGCCACACACCCCACAGTAGTCTGGCATGTGTGAACACACAAGTTATAGAACAAATTTTGTAATTCTAAAAAATATAACTCGGTACTCACTGCAGTGAGTGACAGAGAGCGCGTTTTCTCGTCGACGAAAACGTGAAGTCACGGACGGACAGACGGACATGGCGAGCACAACAGCACCTTTTTTTCCATATATGAGAAAATGCGCATAAAACGCTGAAATTGTTTGAAGAATTTATCAAATTTTGCATAATTCATTAAAAGCAATGGCAGTTATCTGCACAGAAGAGTGAGTACACAGACGAAGATACGCAGCTCAGTGAACAAAAATAAATTCCGTACAAATTGACATTAATGTTGGCAAGTAACGGCTTACAGAAGCTTATTCTACGTGCGCGCTGCATCAATCTGACTTATATGGGCAGAATTAATCGTGAAAATCAATTGAGAGAAAATGTGTACAAAAACAACCAACAAGTCAATCTCAATCAAAGATTATAATTAAAACCGGCATTAATTTGTTGTTCCGGACACGAATACTATTACTTTTTGACAGTGTGGCATGCAATCGTACGAAACATATTAACTGAAGTGAGATATGAGGTTTAAAATAAACTGCTTTAGAAATCCGGATAAGACTTTTGCATTGCTTGTGTCATCATTGTATGCCATACATTAAGTAGGTTTCAATGAAGACCAGAGAGTATTTCTTATTAACACTTTTTTTATTATTATCAAGGAGTCCACTGCTGGATAATAAATATACTTGCATTCAAAACGTGGTAAGTCATAATACAATGTCTCTTTGAAACCCTATATTTGAATTTATAAACCCTATTAAGGGCATATTTCGCCGAACTGAGAAAAATAACTAGAAAATTGTTACTTAAAAATACTCTCTGGTCTACAATGAAACCTGCATTAAAAAAACAACTTCAAACTACACCAATATACATCAAGTATATACGTCCAAAAAAGTTTGTTGTGAATAACCACCAACATGTGAGGATGCATTTGTACGGGCCAAATCGAATTTTCGCGACACTTAACTTTAATTTTAATTTAAAGATGCCCGTTTAACACAAGACGAACTTGGGGATAAAACGTAATAAATAAAGCATCATTGGGGATAAACATAATAAATGAAGCATCATTGGGTATAAACATAATAAATAAAGCATCATTGGTATAAAACGTAATAAATAAAGCATCATTGGGTATAAAACATGATAAAAAAAGCACCAGAAGTTGCCGCAGAACTAACCGTCCCTGGCGGTAGAGTTGAGCACATAGTCGCAGCCTGCGCCGCGACACTTGCCGTTGACGCAGATGTCATAAGTGTCAGGACCGCACGTGGTGCCGTCGTCCACCTTCTCCCGCAACTGGTAAGACACGCTCGAGTTCGACACTTGGCAGAAGAGCTTGCACGAGTCCTCGTGCAAGACTGGGGGCATAATACCAGCAAACGATTGTTATTATATTAAACGGCGCTCGCAATGGCTTAGAATTTCCATTTAGGGTGGTAACTGATGAAGTTGTACATAATAGTTCCAAGAACTTATTTATGTTAATTAAGCAAGGAGTCTGAATAACGAGAAATAATGAAAATAAGAGACGATGTTCACGCATCAGTCGCAACAAATTTTCTAGAAACAATTTTTAAGGAAATTGAGAAGTAAGAAAGATATTGAGTGGAATCAAGTAACAAACCTACGTAATATCTAAACTTAAATAGGTTATAATTTAATTTAGCTATCATAAGTAAACCAAATTTCTTACTGCCGGCATATTTAGGAATCCATTTTACATCTTCGGGTATATCAGGCAGGCCAAAATTTTTCCCGTTGTAAGACTGGCACTGTTGGGTCCTGAAGTCGAGGGCACTGGAGCCTCGTGGGCAAGGTTCCATGACACAAGATCTGTAGCGAACTTTCTCGCCGACGCAATAGCGGCCTCCGAATTTAGGCTTTGGGTCGTCGCAGTATCGCTCAGCGCGCTGCACTCCCACACCGCAGGTCCGCGAACACGCACTCCAACTGAGCATCGATAAATATCAATTGCAATGGTATGCAGACATCTTTAAATTGCAGACATGCATGGTATGCAGACATCTTTAAATTAATCAAAGATCTCAATCGACTTACCGTTAGGAGTGCATAATGTACAGGCACACGCCTAGCAACAAAAACATTTGATGTATACTCTAAATTTACTGTCTAGGTAATACTAACTTGCATGCCTCCTTCTCCTCATGTTAACTCAACTGATACATTATTCATACAAAATCTGGTATCTTTTGACACACGCATACACGAAATTTATTGACGTACAATCTCTGGTCTCTGCAGAAATTTTACTTACGGTTGCCAGGATCCCCACTGCCCCTGTATTTTTTTCAGTGTTTGCTTGTTCTTGACGACGCACTCGCCACGCAAGCACCAGGAGTCTGCACCACACGGCGTGCCGTCAGCCCAGGGCATGTGCTGCGTCTTGCAGCCCTCCTTCTCGTCGTGCGACGTCGTGCACCATAGGCGCTTACACTTCGGCTATTGCATTAATAAAAAATATTCATTACCATTCAGTTCGAGAGATGAAATACATTAAGGGGGAAATTGGCTTCAAGCAGGTTTTCCAAAATTATTTGCAACGAGTGAAGAAAGACGGTTGAGATACGTATCTGTGACATTCAACGCGATCAGGAAAAAACACATGGTAGATAGAATATAACAAGAACTACGAAATTCTTAAGAACGACGAGTCTGTAGTCCTCCTTTACCAACTGCTTTTTATAAAGGAAAATTTTTCAAGTCTATAGAGAATTCAACATTATTAAGAACACGCTGCAGAAAACAAAACTGACCATGTACGGACAGATGCTAGTGGTCTTGCCGAAGACGTACTGGCACTGTTTGGTGGCGTTGAAGAGCTCACCGGCGAGCGTGAGTTCAACCTCGTCTTCCACGAGCTTGTTGCTGCTCGCACTGTCTTCCAAACAGCGAGCGTGGCCGGCGCTGCAGGTACAATTGTTCCCGTCAGAGCAATACATGTTGATATCATTAGCATTGAAGTCAAGTATGCGGCAGCGTTTGAAAGAACGAAATAAAATACTATTTGGAAGGCATCAAAAACATGATATGCATCACAATTCCTAAATCCGGTGTCAAGAAGACATAGTGATTGTACTAAATTCACTAATGTCGATGAACTCGCTACAGGCATTCGGTAAGGCATCAGGAAAACTATTAGGCACTCAGTCCATCAGAGACTAAACACTCACTACAGGTACACGGTGAGGCATCATGAAAAAACATTTTACACCACTCAGTTCAGGCGAGACGCAACACTCACTACAGGTACTCGGTGAGACATCATGAAAAACATTTTACACCACCCAATTCCTGTGATATGTAACGCTCACTACAGGTACTCGTTGAGACATCATGAAAAACATTTTACACCACTCAGTTCCCGTGAGACGCAAAACTAACTACAGGTACTCGGTGAGGCAGCATGAAAACATTTTACACCACTTAATTCCTGCAAGACGCAACACTCACTACAGGTACTCTGTGAGGCATCATGAAAACATTTTACACCACTTATTTCCTGCAAGACGCAACACTCACTACAGGTACTCGGTGAGGCAGCATGAAAACATTTTACACCACTCAATTCCTGCAAGACCCAACACTCACTACAGGTACTCGGTGAGGCATCATGAAAAACATTTTACACCACTCAGTTCCTGCGAGACGCAACACTCACTATAGGTACTCAGTGAGGCATCATGAAAAACATTTTACACCACTCAGTTCCTGCGAGACGCAACACTCACTACAGGTACTCGGTGAAACATCATGAAAAACATTTTACACCACTCAGTTCCTGCACTCACTACAGGTACTCGGTGAAACATCATGAAAAACATTTTACACCACTCAGTTCCTGCACTCACTACAGGTACTCGGTGAGGTAGTGGCGGGAGCAGTTGGACCAGATCCAGGGCAAGGTGTTGTGGTCGAGCATGCGGCTCATCACGTTCATGTGCACGGCAGCGGTAGCGTCGTCAGAAGCACTACCCTTCAGTATCTTGCATTTCGCGTCGTTGTCGTGAGGCATGTTCAGCCTGATGCAAATCAATGTGAAAATGAAATTAGCTCTTCAATGTCCGATATATTGAAAGAAAAATCATAGAGTCATAAATTGACCGTCGATATGATTTATAAAATGTTAGTCTATGCGAGACATTTGCTTTTTGCTTACATTTCTCTATTATAGTGCCATTAAATCAGCACATTATGGGTGCAATAAATTCCTAGAAAAATGGCGAAGGGCAGCGTTACGAAAGCATTTAATATAGACAGTTTCCATAACGATTGGGTACGTAACCTTATCATTATTTGTGTGAACGATAAGGTACGTATTGTCTGTATCAATACAGACGTTGTGATACGTTTGTATTGAAACATTCTCGCGTTGTCAACTCACAGATGCCCCAGCTCGTGGGCGATGGTGAAGGCGGCCGAAAGGCCGTTGTCCTGGACGATGGCGCAGGAGGCGTGGCGGGAGCACATGGTGCCAAGCTCTGCCAGGCCCAACGTGTCACAGTTTTGAGTGAAGGGATTGCGGCAAATGTTCTCTCTGTAATGAATAAGCAAGAGAAATACAAATCAAAACCTGTGAATTAATACCTTAAGTCTATATTGCGGTAAGTATTGTTTCTGCACGAACATAACGGAGAATTTCTTTTTGGTTATGCCCTAGAAATATTTCATGTATTATTTTGGTCAAATATTTTCTCTGAAACTAAGAAAAAATGGTCATTGCGCAAGGAAAATCTTGCTTGAATCAAATGCTCCAAATAGTTCAGAGCTCAGAATCGAGAAAATATAATTTCCTTGTGCTGTATGCACTGTACTGGCACATTATGCTATTATGTTTACTCCATATGCTTCAAGTCACATCATAGAGACATGGACACTATTGGACAGCAAGCGTCCACTTTTGTTCTGAATTGATCCCATGAACAGTAACCTGGTGAGGAGCAAAGCTGTGTCGAAGCGCCGAGGGTGACTTGGGTTTTGTTTGAGTCCTTGTTTCTGCCACCTGCAGAAGTCCTTAAGCATATCCTCAGCAGACTTGCCGTAGACTTCATTCTGACTGCTGCCGGGCTTCTTATTGGCGAAGGTTTTACCTTCCGGATGCACTACCTCCACCACCGCTATGTCTATCAGATTGCCCAAGCTTGAGTCCCTATATATTAGGGATACCTGAAGAAAGAAACCAACGATTTCAGTTCAGATAGATTAAGATTGTATGTGATCATAATTGTTAGTTATTGGAGTACTGACGGAGGAGACATTGCTGAAAGACACATGCATGGTCATGGTTTTGTGGATGAAACTCAGTGGACCGGAGAATCTTCAATAACGATTCAGAATTTATGTCCTCATCATCCGCCTGTGACCTTCGTACATCGACTGCAAAAAATACGTACTTGCATTGCACCAGAAGGAGTCGCTACTACAGAAATAGTCGCTAGTTGAAAAAAAGTTTTCCATTTACTAGGAAATGCTAATCAAGCGCCAGAAACCCACACCTAAATTCCAGATTAAAATATTTTTCAATATATAAAGGTACAAATGTAAATTGCATCCTGAAAATGAATAGAGACACGAAATTGATTAAACAAAAAAAATGAATTCTAGTGCGCAGCAGAATTGTATCTTGGATCACATCATACTCATCAAGCTACTGTTATTATTCTCAGCTATGGTAACTGAAACTTCACAGCCCCAGGCTGTTTGTTGCTCTTCTTGAGCTTCGAAATAGTTTGTGGAGTCGCGGCACCTGTTCATATATTGGCGTTCGCTCAAATTGATCACGATCGAGGCTTAAATCTCTGGAAACATTGAAATTGTGCGAGCCAAAATATAAACAACACCAAGAAAAAAAATTATTTAAATGTTGGAAAATTTTTTCGAACATACTCGCACATTCAATAAAATTTGCAGCATAATCAATATTTCACTTCACCAAATCTAAACGTAAAACTTTCGTGTTCGGAGTACCACATCGAGCTCGTCTGAACATCGTAAACATCTTCCGATTTGTGATTCCGCAGCAATAGGAGCATCCAGGCGAAGCCTGCCAAAGCTTCTTAGGGTATCGCATATCAATGGGAGATTAATCATGGCTCTCCAGGTCCGTAAATTGAAGCTCTAGCAAGCCTTAAACGGCGTCAACATAATGAGATTCCTCGACGGGTTCCAAGGCAATACACTGATACCTCTCATCGATATCTGGAGGCATGAGAAATAGCACCAGGCAACAAGACGACGAAGACTCGCATGCTTATTTATAGGCCCTTCAGTAACAATTTATTTACAAGCTTGAGCCAAATAGAAACGGCGGATAATTTACTGTGATTAACATGCTCGTATGTTAGGAATTATCCCAGGCAAACCTGCTCAGAACTAACAATAAGCTCCATCTTGGGATCTCACTGACACTTGCGTGATTCCTGGCAATGATATTTATGGAGAAGCAATCACTTGATTGTAGCGGAGTTCTCTTCTGAAAATTTTACCATGAAAGCTTGAGCATTTTTAGAGTTTGTAGGAAATTTTCAAAATCATAAATTCGGATCGGTGTTTGATACTCACGCCCAGAGCAAAGACATGCAACATTAGGCACTTTTTTAAGTTTCTAAAAATATTCAGTGGTTTTTATTGTTTGAAGATTACATAATTTCACTGCATCTCCTTTCATTAAAATGTCAGGTTAATATTTACGTCGGTTAAGTTCGGAAAAATGGTTGCATGTAAAACCATGAAGCGATACTCGTAAAACGATATTATCATTCAAAAAGTTAGAAAAATTAGGAGCCTTTTAATCAGAAATGCGTATGATCGGATCAACGAAACGCCCTCCCAATAAATCGCTGCAATTTTAAATATAAAACTAAACGTTATGAAAGAATTGACATAATTTTGTTGTCCAATTCATGCTCCAATAATTTAAGCATTTTGTCAGAAAACAAAAGAGCCTGGCTATCAGAATTGTGTTCTAATCCTAAATGCCATCAACCGTAACAAATTCTTCAATGACTCTGACTCCTTCAATTTATTATTCAACATGATACTGTACTCGCTTCGTGCTAGGCAATGATATTTTATTTATTAGATTAATTATTTATTTTGATGTGAATGCTGGCATCGCAGGAGCAGGATAGAGTTGACAAGGTATATAAAGTTATCAAGAGGTATTACAACTAGAATTCATAGTTGTTGAGGATTTTTCAGACCTTAGAGTACATAGAAATAAGAGTATATAAGGAATGGGAGAAATGTTCACTGATCACGAGCTTTATTTTCGAATTAAAAGGCTAGAGACAAATGAATGTCATATTTGGCTGTCATTCAAAGAATGTTCGTATGTATGCATATCATAACTGCAGGACGTCAATACTTATCGCGAACTTCCAAACAGCGTAGGAAACCACTGACTTCAGAGTCAGAACGCAACACACATATCATATATCTTATCATTTCATATATCATATCATAGTGATGTCGGCGCTGAAGAATAGGCCTGCGATGTGACTTTTCCACAGGAGATTTAAAAACAGGCCCTTCGACTGGATGGATAGACTTGATAAAACATGCAACACAACACACTTGAATGAAATATGATCGTATGCATCCAGAACACAAGCCTCGAAAGACATCGCATTGAGTCACTCACCATTGACATGAGCGTGAGGACATATTGGTCGACATGCTTGCCGTGGTATCTCGCCATCTTCGCGTCGACCACGAGGAGGATCTCCATGGTGTACGGCTTCGAGAAGAGACCGCGCCGCGAGCGATGGTGAGGCTGATCCTCTTCCGGCTCTACTGCTGTCAGGGATAAATGAATTATATTAAATAACAAATAAAAGAAATAAATACGTTAATTTTAGCGTTACGAGATGATCATAAGGGTGAACTTTTTCAGAGTATAAAAAATGATTGGATATCTTTGAGATCCACGTAGTTCAGGAGGTATTTTTACAAGAGTTTTCGTTAGGTCAGAAGGGGAACATTATAGTGCCATGACAGTAAATACTAGCAATTATAAGCAATAAGATTGGCGATGAAGAGAAATCCTACTTCGTGGCAAAAAAAAATGTTGGAGCATAGAATCGTCGATACCAATTGAATAGTAAACTGATTTTATAAACGATGGAGTCAAGCTTGGAATTTAAAAACATATTCTGGAGTGTTTTTCCTAACTTCATTTTATCGATTTTTAAGTTATTTTGTATAGTCACGACATTCAAGTTCAAAAACAATGCGAACAAGTGAAATACATGGAAACTTTATCCCGATAAATTAATGAAAAGCCGGAGCAAATGATAGGAGCGATCGTCGGTTCCGACAGCGGCAGCTCATGGAATAATTGAAACCGTCCTCAATCAGTGCATAGACTGCAAGCCGGCCCAAAAAGAGTGAAAGTGCATAGTTCAGTTTTGTATTGTTCGCCCATTGCGCAAGAACAAAAAGTCCGGCAATATCCAGCTAACTGCAGTTCAGATACCGAGTGTATCCGGCGAGGCGGAAAGCTGAGGTTCACTGCTCGTATTATGGCACGGTCTTTGTCCACAGGCTCAGCTCCAATTGCATTGCATTGGCAGATGCAAGGTTGAACTGATTCGCAAATGGGATTATTGCATTAAAATAGCGGGTTTAATCATAGTTGGAGGGACGGGTTTGTTTTAATGGCATACGGATTATGGCTATAGACCGTTCGAACGTATTCGCTTGTTTTTCTCGAGCTATTTGGATTTGGGAAATTAGATAAGAAAAATATAAATTTTCAGCGGAATAAATAAGAAGCTATAATTTCAATCTTTTGAAGGAATATAGATAAAAGATAATTCGTGCAGGAAAACGCGTTCGAACAATTCTTATTCGATAATAAAACCAAAACTTCTTTTCTGCACAATTTCCTCTTAGGCGCAAATTCAGTCTACTCCGGAGGTAGCCAAATCTTCACTTGTACTCGGACTTCTGCAAAGATAGCTTGAAAAATGAACGCGCTCTCGACGCGCACTATAGGTGAACGAAATTTGGAGTATTACATGAACAAAAGACGACGATGGCATCTTTGTTACGCGACAATTAAGGCGAACACGGTTGAGCACACGCAACTGTGATCAGGAACGTTGATCAAAAACGCGATTAAAACGTATTTAACAAAATATTTTTCTGAGACGTACCTCAAACGAGAAAATAAACTGATTTTTGTAGTTACCAATTAAACTCCCACATTCATATATGCTGGACAGTAGTCACTAGAACGATGCAGAAAGATAATAAGTATCCATGTGAGGAAACCATTTTATTTCTGATGCCTAAAAATAAGCGGCCGCATTAAATTCGACCAGCGTGAATAAAACTCGTTGATAGGAACACTATTATAAGGGCATAAAAGTAATGCTCTAAAGCCTGTGTTTCCGAATAAATTTTGTTGAATTATTCTACCACATTCTTAACTTTACCTGTGAGTACACGGCATATTTTACAAAATTTGAGAGATGTGTGGAGCCAGATATTAAATTTCTCCCCTTATATTGGCAACTCCGATTTAAATGTAAAATCAACTATTTCCAACGTGGAAGCCCAGAAAAAAATAATAAGTTATTCCTCTAAACAGCGCAAATGTTGTCAACATAAATCACTGCATTTATTCAAACCATAAACCACTTAACAAATAAAAATTACCACGCAAGTTTTGAAAATAATACAACAATAGGTAGTTTCTGTACTAATAGAGCCTTCATATTGTTGTTTGAATAACGTTAGAATATTTCCATTGAGGGCAAGCCAAGAAATGTATGTCCACCATTCATGTATATCGATGGGCGGTTATAATGAACTAAAGGTACAACGCCTCAGTAATAATGCGTTAACTTCATACAAACTCTTTCCACCAAACAACAATGTAATGAAGCCATCCTTCAGTTAATGTTTCTTCCATCAAGATTGTTTCCATGTAACTCTCTTTAAGGGCACGCTTCATAAAATATTGATGCTTCATTTAATCGCAGCTAGATAACGCCGTCAACACTTGAGCAGAGCATTGATAGGGTAAAAACGTGCAGGCTTTGACTCGGCAAAAAGCGTAATAAGCGTGTCCATAGCAGACAGTCTTTCATATTACATCGCAGCGCATGCTCCTCTCTGATATATACTGGAGTGTGGCGGCTCGAATTAAGCAGCGTCACTTCAGAGAGTGCTTTACAAATGTATACCTTTTCCCGAACGGTCGGGTTTAGCTCCTTGACCCTTTCAGCCGCAGGGTTAAGCAGTTTGGGAATTCATAATATTTCTCTCATTTCTGAGTTATATTGTTATAAACAACACTGAAGAGAGGTAGAAATTGGAATGTTTTAACAACAAAGCACCCTCGCTGCCTCTCAGTAAACTGCACCTATTTAATTAAGAAGAAGACTCGTTCACCAGAAACGTCCTTCCCGTCGTTCTCAAAGATAACATAGAGCCAGCATAAAGTCAGCATAAAGCAGGCACTATAAGAGCATTAGAATATTAGCAGACCTCGCCATGGACAATAAATTCTATGCCTATAAAGTTACGTTAGACGAAACAAAGTAGTCTCGCGGGTAGAATAAACTTCACATGTATAACACATGACACTTATAATTAGGCAACTTGTTCCTGTCAGGCCTGAGTAAAGGCGATTCCTTCGTAAAATATCGCTTAGCAAATTAGTCACGGTTGCTTAGTCCGAGGATACGACTCTAGTTTGAACACAGTTCAGGGCGCAATATAAGAGGGAAATGGTCTCGTAAGAAGAGCGGGTGGCGGCTCGCTGTCTAGACGAGCCAGTGGAAGTTAAAAATTCATGGCAATTAAATGCGAAAAGCCATAAACTGAGATTGCATTACTTTAGAACACGCTTTCATGGTTTCACGTTGGAACTTCCATGCAGAAGTTTCCGTATTTTACGAACTTTTCCTATGGGGTTCAGCTATCGAGATTGACGTTCCAGCCGAATATAATACCCGGTAGACAGTTTATTAAAAAGTTGATAAAAACGAAACTAAATCAAAAACCCATAGGAAAATTTTTTTATTCTATTGCACTATATTGGGAAAATACGATTACAATATAACTACAGGCGATGATAATAAGTTAATGTTAAAGGTATGATAATAAATTAACCCAATTCTTTTCTTGTATCATGATTATGCTTTACAAAATATTCATTAATTATGTGTGCTATGGTTTATAATTATCAAATGTTAGCACGACAGAATTTTCTTTGAATAGCCGGAAAAATGAGAAGTGAGAAGAATCCACTCAGCACATTTATAATTATCTACATATCTTTCAGTTTAAAAAACCTAATTAAAACCTTAACACCGAAACACAAAAGTTAGTGTTTTTCGTGAAAGAAATCAGCATTCGAAGGGAAACGAGCTGTTAATTGTGAAGCGACGAGGCTAAGGGGCACAGGGGCAATATTATCGCTCAATACAGCTTATTTGTTGCAGGGAATTGCCGTCTATGATCCTGAAGAAGTCATATAGCCATTAATCCCTGGACATTAAAGGATCGTTTGCATTAACTTTTATAACCATGAAGTTGAATCCGCCCCTCCAAGACCCGCATGAGTAGATTGCTTTAACAAGGTGTGATGTTACCCACTATAATAAATACGATACGCTCTTCACGATAACCCTGAAATAGACGACATGAATTACGATGAACATTAATATTCCACACGCGGTATTCCACACGGGCGGCTCTAGCATCCTAATGCCGAGGAGGAGTTCCCGCAGAGAACAATGCAAACGAAATATTTCGCGGAATCTGAGTTATGGTCATGAAGTGGGCCATAACCGGCGGTTTCGCCTTTCTTCTTATCCCGCCAGACGCTGGCAGCTCTACAAGAAAAGCCACAAATTGAAAAGCCGATAAAACGATCGTAAAGCGGCGCGTCTCATGTGGAAATCATGAAGCCAAATTAGGTCTAGCAAGAAACAACGGCCAGTCGTAAGCACGCAACAAGAATTCTGTAGAAAGATTAATCGCAGGGACTGCTCCAACTTGTTCAAATTTGGAAACGATTTTCCTTCAAGGAAGTCACCGCTCGTCGGCTGTTCAAAGTCTAGAAAGGCTAAACGCTAGAAAGGCAATTCATGTCTGTTGGTAAACCTTCCCCGTCAGTTTTATGAGTACTGTGGTGCTCATTAAATATGTTGTTCAGCACTCAATCCCTTAAGGCAAACACCGCGCATACTGATCTTCCAAGAGTCGCAGTAAGCAGACCATGAAACGAGGGTTACAGACCATTCGATCTAGGCGTTATGTGTTTCAACGGCGGCAAATGGTCACTAAAAGACGTGAAAAGTCACTTGGCTGCACAGTACCGCCGCAAAAAGTAGTTCTCTGTGCGCCGAATCTTAAAGTTTGCCGACAACTTAGTATTTTTTAGAGAAAATTGATGGATTTCCATGGAAACGCAAGAAGTGCTGAGATTTCCATGACAGCTGCCGCATTAAGTACTGCGATACAGTAAAATAAATCCATTTAAATGAATTAAACTCTCATACCGTTTTACATAAATATAATAAAATGCTAAAGTTTTGTGCAGTAAATTCTGTCCAAAGTATACAACTTTTTTAATTTCTATAATCACAAACTGACGACCAACAAAAAAAATAAAAATAAAAAATAAGGGACGCGGTGCTACATTCATTTGAATGTATGGGACCGTCCTAAACAACCCAAGTTATTATTAAATAACATTGGCGGAAAAAGCTGAATGTATGTATTTTTCAAGGATGAGAAATATCTTCAAACTTGCTGCTTTTTCATGTACAA